TCAAGGAGGTTTTTGAAGGTGCAGTAACAGGCGTTAACCAAAAGAACAAGAAAGAAATCACATCGTGGTTCCAGGTTTCGAAGGGTCTGAAGATCGAGTACAACCCCGACAACAAGAACGGCTCAAAGCTCGTCAACGCAACTCTCAACGGTGAAGCTTTCGAGGATAAGACAAAGTATCGCGTCGTCACTCTCGATTTCCTTGCTGGAGGCGGTGACAACTTCTTCAGTATCGATGCTAAGAACCTGGCTACTCTCGATTCGCAGGATGAGGTTCTCATTGGGTATCTTGATGCGCATAACCCTCTTGATCCTAAACTGGAGGAGCGTGTTGTTGAGACGAATGCCACGAGCAGTGAGGACGCTGAGCAGGGTGAGGCAAAGGGCAAGGGCGGAAGTGCAGGAGGAGATGGGAATGCGGCCAGTGGTGTTCACGCCTCGATCTTGAGTGCTGTGTTCGGTGTCGCGATGGTTCTGTTCACGATGTAAATGGTAGAAATGCAATTTGTATATATATAGATGACTTACAGTAGACTAATCAATAGTCTCTCAGTAATTTGCTCCAACCGATCAACAGTTGTTTGACCTATGTGTCAGTAGTTTTACCAGGTATATTCACATCCTCCTCCAATGTTCAAGCCCGCACACGCAGGAACGTCTCATAGTTCATCTGCATCTCATCCCCATCTCCATGGACCAAATAACCCTCCTCCAACCAGTCTATCTCCCTCCTCTCAAGACGAGTTTTAACCACCAACAGAATGATAAACACAACTGGAACCAAAAGCCACAGTACAAGCAGCACGGCAAGAATACCCAGGTATACCGGGACGGCGTATTCAGGATGACCCATGTTCGCGACGAGGAACAACATCTTCTAGTATGGGAGTAACGTCATGGTGGGCAGAGCTGGGTTTTTGTGCAAATTGGTGAAAGGAGACAAGCCCTTTGTTCGACGGCGGTGGGAGGCCAAGTGTTCAGGTGGGAGTGCACATTGTGCGATGGTCACTGCCATGAACAAGAGACACGGCCTTGTCAAAGAGTAACACTATCCAGAATATGACTTGGGAGGACGAACAATTTGTGATGTGACAAGGAGGGCTTTGTCTCTTGCGAACATGTCACCGAGATGAGTGTGGGATTAATCAGGTCAAGCTGTTTGAAAGACAAGAGACGTGGAAAATGGACGTTATTAGGCTAGACTGAAACAAATACATAGAAACAGAACAACCTCATCCTGGCATTTGACATTCATTCATTCATGTATCCACCCATCTTAGTAAGTATAGCGGAAATCGGCAGAAGCGCCCTCCTGGAATATTTGTCAGTGATATTGTCATGTCAGCACGAGGGGTCTTACTCACATCATGGGCCTCCAACACCTTCTCACCCCGATCGGCCTTGGCATTCAGCCTCTTGAAATCCAAGTCACAGAGACAGACGAGGATGACAGTGACAAGACAGCAGGCGATGCAAGCCCACATACCAGGCTTGTACCCCGTGAGCTTGTCCTGCTCGCGGAACACCAGACTGCCCGCAATACCGCCAAAACCACCAAAGCCGACGAGAGTCGCGCTGCAGAAAGCTCGCTTCCACTGACCGCGGATGTTGTTGGCCTGGAAGGACATGGCAGTTGGGATGTTGCTGTTGGCACCGGCGGTGACGAGGAAGACACCGAAGTAGCGGACGTTCGCACTCTCGGCCCAGCCCATGATGGGGAGTCCGATGAGGCAGAGAAGCATGTTGAAGAGGATCATGGGGCCTCGGACGTGATACTTGTCGCCAACCCAAGCAGTTGCGAACATGACGATACCAGCAAAGGCATAGGGAGGCGCAACGAGACACTGAGCTGCTCCGACGCTGAAACCCATGTTTCCGACGAGGATGATGGGGAGGGTGTAAGCAAGGGCGTAGCTGATGGTGGTGGTATCGAAGAAGATCATAGCATAGGCCCATACCTTCCAGTCGGCACCGCCTCGAATGAACTTGCTGAACTGGAAGGGAGGGACCTCAGTGTCACCACGATCACGGCGAATACGATCGACGACCCATTGGCGCTCACGGCTACCGAGGAACGACCATGTCTTGCGCTTGGAGTCGGGGAAGTCGACGAGGAGCCAGTATCCAGCAATACCGAGGGCGATCGTGAGAGTACCTTCGATGATGAAAATCCAGCGCCAGCCAGTGAGATTCTCTCGACCGTTGAGTTGCATGAGCTATAGTGCGTGAGTAAGAGTGCGACGTGGGTTCGGGGGTGAGACGTACACCATAGGCGAGAATACCAGAGAAAGCAGAAGCGACGCAACCAAGAAGATAGAAGACAGAGTATCGCTTTCCAACCTCATCTGGGATTATGTATTAGTGCTGATTTGCTTGAAGCCGTCAAGATACTCACATCGGGTGTACCATGTGCTGAGAAGATAGACACAGCTGGGGAAGAAACCAGCCTCGAAGAAACCAAGAACCGCTCGGAGAGCTGCAAGCTGAGGGAACTTCTTGACGAATCCCATACCAACCATGACAGCACCCCACATCATAGTGATGAGAGCCAGATGAATACGGGGACCGACTTTGCGGATGAGGACAGTCGACGGTGGCTGAAAGATGACGTAGGGGATGAAGAAGACCAAGTTGGCGATGTTCTACCACGATTGTCAGTTGATTGTTGCTCTCCAAAATGAAGAGAACAGGACTTACGTATCGGAAGCCAGTGAGCTGCAGCTCAACACTCATGCCCGCAATGTTGGCAGCACTCATATTGGTTCGGTCCATAAGCGAAACACAATACATGGCACCAACAGTCACGACGAGTCGACGATCAATTCGTCGAATGATGCTGCGCTGCTCCTCCTGCGTGAAGCCATGGTCATGATCGATCTCAGAGCTGACCTTGCTAGGAGCCTGATCGAGATGATTGAACTCGGCCTGCTTCTCGACGCCGTCGTCACCATTGGTAGTTCGATCCATGGTTGGCTGCGTAGATCTGAAAGGGGGTGATGAAGTTCAAGCTTGGGCGGGAGCAGGTTGAAAAAGGAGGAGGGAAAAAGAAGAAGAAGAAGTAGAAGTTCCTGTTACACAGTTTCCAGGAGGAGAAAAAGTGCTGGGCAGTGGCCCCCTTTTGAGAAGGAGAGGAAAAAAGGTGGACTTGATAGTGCAGAATGTGAGAGAAAACCAGGTTCAGGCTCTGGTTCCACGGAAGATGCAAGCTATTCTCTGCTTGTCTTACCTCCGAGTCTTTTCTTTCTGTGTCTCGCTGCTCTTTTTGTCTCCAGTTTATTTCTGGTCTTTTCGTCCACGATCATCGCCCTCTTATATATACGCATTTTCCCCCCTTCCCCTCCCCCCATTCTATGGGGTCATACATCTCGATATCGAACCAATCCTACTGAACCTCGGGTGGCGGTCAATGCCAAGCAGAAAGTCACATAAAGAGCACACCCCTTGGTCTTGGCCTTGGTCTTTGGGAACAGAGCTTGTTCGACTCGTTTACGCCAGCTTCCCCCGCAAGATCTACCTGCTACCGTCGCTTGCTCCACCAAGAAATCTGGGGTGTGGACATGGGAAAAGACGACTTTGCGGGGTAGGTAGGCAGGCTGGGTATTGCGGTATAGCTGCTACGCCCGGAGGATTGCCTGTTTTGGGGCGAGATGCGATGGAGGGCTTGTCACTGAGGGTCCCCCCAGTGCATCATCAGCAGGACAAGAAAGATTGAGAGGGCTTGCCATAGTACGGTCTTGGCTGTTTGTGCGGTAGCCCGCTTTCAGGTCAAGTGTGATTGAGTTTTACAGGCTCCCTTGTCTTTGGGAAAACGGAGAAATTTGGGAATTAAAGTGTGTGGTCTTTGGCTGTGGAATTCGATCGTTACACTACCGCCTTGTGTGTTGCATGGGTTGAGCCTCGAAGCGAGCATTGGCAATGGATCCATTGCTTGCGTTATCATGTAGCATTGACGAGTGACCAACGTAGCTCAACTCATCTGGTATACATAAGTACGCTGTCCTACTATTGACTGTACCAGTATTGCTAGGAAACACAAAGAGGTCGGACCATCGCTCTCTCACTTACGCCAGTAAGGCCCCCCTCCCTACCTTACCGCAAGCCACACCTCCTTTTTCTTTTTTAAATCAGATAGAGTAAATCGTGTGCTGGTCAGTCTAATTCCGTCGCCGATACCTAAAACAACACCTTAACTTAATTATTCTCCTCTCGACACACTCGATTCAGCGCTACTCAGTCCTCCCCCGCGTTCTCCCCCACCCCCGCATCGACTCTCACCTCCCGAACCAATAACGGCTCATAGAGCGACCTTGGATGCCGAGGCTCCTCTCCAATTTCGACTCTAGAGGTCAAGCTTAAGTTCCAAACCTGAATTCCTAGCCTCTCGTTGGGCGCTTCCGCGGCGACGCTAATTTATGGTTGTTTTGACCTGGACTCATCGCTGAGCTGTCACCGTCGAGGGCTTGCAGTAGAGTAGACACACAGACAGACAATATCCAGGGTTAGCTTCGTTGAAGCAGTGATTTCTTTTTGGGGCAATCCTTGCGGGTCGTTGGCTTGGCTGTCGGCACGCACCGAAAGATATCCAGTGATATCCTTTCGCAGTTCTAGATTCCAGTAGTCAAAATGTGTCATTCAACGCTTTGCCATATACCACACTCTAGCTGAACCATCAAGAATGCCCATATCTCGGACACTGCCCGAATCCTTACACGCGTCATCTCATCATGTCGTATCCTTCTCTCTCATGTCCCGTCCCAGACCAGTTTGCGCCTCGGTATCTCATCCACACCGTAAAAATTACCAAAAAAGATCAAATCCAAGCCAGAACGTACGTCCCGTCCACACCTTCAGTATCTCGTCTTGTACCCTGTCTGATTCATCTCGAAGGATTTGTGCAACCTTCAACGTTCATGCAATCATCCAGTTCATTTTACCTGCGGCGGCCAAGCACCGAGTCCTATAATCTTATTTGCTTGTTCCTGACCGAGCCTCGGCTCACGTTCAACGAAACGCGGATGACACAGTCGAGAAGGACTTCTTGATGTTGTGCCAGATTAACGCAGCGGTACCAACAACCGCACAGATCTGAAGAATCTCCCAGGGCTTTCGAGTCTTGACCTCGGTCTCGATGTAGTCGATCTTGCTACCAGCCATACGGGGGAATCGACCGGTTGTCAGGTACTCTTCCATGAGCGCATCCTTCTTGTACCACTCCTCACGCAACCAGAGCTCAAAGGCCTTCTGGTCGTGAAGGGGCATATCGCTGATTTTGAAGCGGCGCCAGTGGAAGTTGACCGACTTAGGGGCCCGACCTTGAAAGTAGGTGCTCACCAAACCAAAATATTCCTCACCGAATCCACCTCGGCTAGACGCGTCCGTCAGTCGACAGTTACAATGCTGTGTAACGGGGCTTCAGGTTACAACTTACGGAATTCCCTCATATGCGACCGTGCAGTCGTAGACGTAGTCAATGCTTCCCTTGAGCTCATTCAGGCAAAAGAACATGCCAGTACTTCGTGGAAGCATGACATGGTCTGGATCCTTGAGGTCGTTCTTGGCAGCCCAGCCAGCCGACTTTCTACGCCCATTATTGGAAAGATTCGTGCCTTCGGGGAACAAGAGCAGCCACATGGGGTCCATATACGACTTTCCATTGGGATCAACCTTGCGTTGTTTGAGTTTGTTGAGGCGGTAGGCCAAACGGGGCTGATCCGAGGCCATCTTTCGCGACATGAAGATGAATCCGTAGAAGCGCATTCCCCATCCAATGAAAGGGATGTGCTTGAGGGATTCCTTGAGGATGATGTAGATATGCCCATGCATGCCAGGAGAATTAGCGTAAGCAATCCACCAGAGATATAGCCAGTCAGTATAGATCTGCGCAAGTGTCAGTTTCCATCAACCTCTTGAAAAGCAAACTACCGTACTTGATGGTTGGCAATCATCACCAAACGCTCAGGGAACTCGAACTGAACTCCTCCATCGGGCCGCAGCTTGATCTGACCGGCGACCGACTCGTCACCGCTGATTCGAATGGTGGTCGGGCCCCAGATTTGGGTCATGGAAGTTGTAGTAAGACAAAAAGATTGTTTCGTCATAGCCATGTAAGCGTAGTACCAGTCACGATTGACGAAGTACAGGGGAGAGCCGATAAGTTGGGTAAAGAAAATGCTACCGTCATGTTAGTTGCCTGTACCTGACGAGGGACTCTGCGTTCATACATCAAGCAACATGTGTTGAAGTATAGGGCGAACAAGGAGCCGCGCACAATCTGCATCAGGGCTCCATAGCTTTCTTTTCCCGAAGGATGCTCCTCCTTTGGTTTGGGCTTCTGCTTCTCTGCTAAAGACTTCTCAGCGAGACCAGCAAGTAGCTCTGGCGAAGGGATCACCGTCTCCGGTGGGCCATCGGTTTTGGTGTCAGCCATGGCGGCGTCTCTGTTTGTTTGTGTTGTCTATCAGATGTTGTTGTATGTTCTTTACGAGGTATCACGTCGATCAAAACTGAATAAACGAGGAGGCGCCTTCAGGACTGTTATATCTCGTGTCTGCCTTGTCCACGCCGTTGGAGCTAAGAGAATGCGAGGGGTCGCGTGGCACAGTCTACACAGTCAGAGACAGGAACCTAGACCTCCGACCTCGTGGCGTAGAGATAACGAGAGAAAAGAGAGTCTATTGAAGTTCAAGATGAAGAAATCTGACGAGGCTGCGAGACATTGTGCATGTGATTCAAGGTCAAAAGCCCAAGGTTACCTTAAGCTCAGCTCGAGCTTACCTTGTTGCTCTGACGTGCCTGCTTGTGGTTAGCTGTTAGCGCAGGTGACATCAGGCGGATGCGTCGGAGGGGGGATGTCCTATGACGCCTAAAGACGGTGCACGGTGGTTCACAGATGCCGATCAGATTTGGCCAATGGGAAGCTACGAATATGAGATCACTTGGCATAAAGCTGTTGGATCTGCGTTTATAGAAGCTATCTCGGGAGAGATAAGACACTTTGACAGGTCATACACGGATTTCAGCTGATCAAGGACTTCTTCCCCCAAGCCTTTAAAGTTTAAGGTCGATATTCAGGGTCTTGACAATGTGAAATGGTCCCTTGCAGCGAAAATCTTTCTTTTTCGTTCTCAAGTCGAATGTTGGAACAGGAAGGCGGTGAACATCAGCCCACCTTTAGCTCCTCAGTGCATTCTGCCAAAGCCGTCGCAAAGCCGCATGGGGCATCGCAGTAGGTCCCGTCTTCGGCGTCATCTGTAGGCAAATTTAATCAGCCTCGACGGTTTCTTTTCTTTTCACATGCCATGCCGAATTCCTGGTACCATGTCTAGAAGGTCCCTCTCACGAGGCCTGACCCTCTTGAGGCCCAATAGCAATCAACTACCGACATGCCGCTTTTTGACTCGGCCATCCACATTCACTCTGGCACCACAAACATGCCGTCTTCTATCAACAACCTCGACCCATCAAACATCCGAGATTCGCAGCATTGCAGAACTCCCGAATAGAATAAGCCCACGCTATCTCCAGAGCACAAAGCCCGGATCGTCGCTGTTATCACTGAACTGGCCCAAACCCCCTCGAAATCTCCTTATCATCCACAAGCTCTACTCAGATGCCGTCGTCGAGGCTGTCGTCAAATTCTCGACCTACCTCCATAATGAATATCCAGAAGTCAACCTCGTGTTCGAGCCACGCATCGCCCAATCCTTAAAGGGTCGTCTCGATTTTCCCATTTATGCTTCGGACTCTCGATCCAATATGGCAGACAAGATTGACATCATCGCGACTTTCGGGGGCGATGGTACTGTCCTACGAGCTGCAAGTCTCTACAAGCTCCATGGCTCTGTCCCTCCAATTCTATCGTTTAATATGGGAACACTGGGCTTCCTTGGGGAGTGGGATTTCAGAGAGTACAAAAAAGCTTGGAGGGAGACGTTTATGAGTGGCAGTGACGTCGCTACCCGTGAGGCCAACTACCCTCGAGGTGATTGGGACAAGACAAGTCCAGTGTCATACACAGCATGGGAAAGGCATAAGGGCAAAAGCATGGGAGCCCAACGAGCATCCAAGGTGTTACTCCGTCACCGCATCAAGGCTGATGTGTTTGATCCGTCTGGCAACAATATCAATCATTGGTTGTCAGATACTTTGTCAAGCGAGGCAAAGACAGGGGCGAAGGCGCTAGCGGTGCCTCACGAGCCATCACCATCACTGAGAGCTATCAACGAGATCTCGGTGCATCGGGGTTCTCATCCCCATCTAGCTATCATTGATATCTACCAGAATGGTCACTTTCTTACAGAAACCACTGCTGATGGTATCTTGATCAGCACCCCTACAGGCTCAACGGCATACAGTCTAAGTGCAGGTGGTCCAATTGTTCATCCACTTGTCAAGTCGCTCCTCATTACACCCATCAGTCCTTGCAGTCTGAGTTTCCGATCCCTGGTGCTCCCGCTAGACACCAAGGTCACCCTACGAATGAGTCGCAAGAACCGCGGCCGTGAACTTGACCTGAGTATTGATGGCAAGAGGTGTGCGGGAGTGTCGCCAGGGACAGAGATTCGGGTAGAAGGCGAGTTCGTTGGACGAGCTGGTCCTGGGGAGGAGTGGCATGGCGGTGTACCATGTATGATCAGGACTGAGGATGATGATCCTTGGGTGGGTGGCTTGACTGGCCTACTCAAGTTCAATCATCCTTTTGGACGAGAACCTGGTGGAGACGATTATGCCGATTAGGCAGTGGATGTGATATGCCTATATATGGATGCACATATTGGCGATTATTTGATACCCATACGTTTGGATAATAATGAAGTCATGAGGAGAGCTGGCAATATTAGGGTGCGATAAGAATTCGAAATGCTTCTACAAGCAAGATTAAGGCTACCAATAAGCATATAGACAACTTTGAACCAATACCAAAGTAGGTCACCGACTCGTTGTTACTCCATGCGTGGTGTTCCGTAACACAGATGCAATTCGGGCTCCCTGTTCTTGAACTGCTTTCGCTGAGCTTCCAACACGAGATGGGAATAAGATGATGACAGGCTTAGGGCTGAAACTCGCAGCCAATTGCAGGAAGATGGCGCGCAGCAGTAAGCGGCGTATGCTTCAAAACTCCGGATCGGCCGAGTAGTCAAGCCATGGGCGGTCCGCGGACATGGATTCAAGCCACTCAGCGTGAGCAACTACCCTTTTCAGAGGCGACGGTAATTCAAGATGGATTCACTGCGCGCTGACAGATGGCAGTGCATAAATCGAAGCAGAAGATCTTTGTCGATGGTCCACAACAGCTGACAAGTGGCTAAGATACGTGGCAGAACAATGCATCTCTGTCTTACGGATGTTTAGCGAGAACTCCTTCAAAACAATACGAGTATCTAAGCGCTCTTGTGATCATGTTCCATGTGAAGAAGCATCAGAAAAGAGCCGCCAAGCCGTCTTGGCTCTCTCTGAGATTAGCAACGGCGGTTTGAGCTGGGCGGGTTCCCTTTAATTTCGCCGCCAGGGGTTTTCCTCAAACATTCCGAGTGCTTGTGGATCGGGATATTTTGATGACCCATGATCAGCCGACTCTAGTTGTTTGATGTTCCATTGTAATGTCATTCGGGGTCTTATATTCCGCGGATCTCAATACTCAGAGGGCTTGCTATGACAATAGGAGTCTGAGGTGAGGTCATTGTTTGAGGCGGCGCGCGGTTGGACTCGTTGAAATCATGCAGCGGGTGTTCCTGGAACGGCTTTAAGGCTTGTTAGTGGCTGGGTGATGCAGGGGATGTTAGCGGGTGGTGGGCAGTAACTTAAACAAAGAGGTCGTTCATGTCACATGTATTGAACTCGATACAAGGGCAACGGGAATTATCATACGCGAGTTGACCTTGAAACACGATTATTCAAACAATTATCACTGATGATGGATTGACTGTTCGCCACAATCCTTCCTCCGTTCCGCGGAGCATCTCTAAAATAGAAACAGAACGCAGTAAGTATAGTATCACACAGCCTGTGTCATTGCATCAGACCGATACAGCTCAGAGAGGCGGCGCAGGGCTGGGCGAATTCTTGGCAACGAGGCAGAGGCAGAGGCAGAGGGAGAATGAAGGCCAACGCCTGTAAGAAAATGGTGGCCCTTGGCTGATTGATGACTGACGGAATGAGAGAGAGGGAGAGAAAGACAAGCTTAAGTGTTACTCTTAAATATCTAACACGAACCTTGAACTCTTTTCTCTTACTCTATTTCAATCAATACCTTGTCCTGCCCTGGCTGAACCCAAAAGCACGGATCCAAACCGTTGACGATACTGCCAATTAATTAAACTGACCACCCCACACTGAATCCTTTCCTTTCCTTTCTTCTACATACCCTTCTTATACCCAGCTGCATCACAACCTCGACCTCGTGTTTCTTGGTTTTTCTTTATTCCCTTATTTTCTCTTCATTTCTGCTATTTTCGGGGCCAGTTTCTTCTTATTTGCATATTTGACTCTTTGGCATCTGCTCATCTTGGACCACCCTTTCTTCGATCCGATCACCAATTCATCGATACAACAAACAGCAACAACTCGAATTGTTCGCTTCCATTCCTTCCGAGGCTGTGAATAGCTTCCGTCTTCTTACCGCTCATTTATCCGCCCGAGGCCGTTGCCATGGCCATTTCTTCGGGCCTCGCCCTTTTGCTGGCTGCCAGCGCCGCATTGAATCCCGTCGCTGCTGCGCCTTCGAGTAAGTCGACACTCTTCGCGACCGAGCATGTCGTCGAGCGCATGGAAGCTGGTGTGGCGCGGTCGCATACATTTTCCTACCTAGATCTTTGGGTCGCGGATCGGAGCTAACGTGGAACAATCGCAGTTGACGACGCTTTTGTCGCCATCTCCAATTCAGACTTCTCTCCCCGATCAGTATCAAAACGAGGCACGCCTCAAGCCCCCGATGGCTACGTACCCTCCAAAGTCGATTGCCCCAGTACACGACCGACGATCCGAAATGGCTCTTCAATCTCGAGCATGGAGCGCGACTGGATCCCGAAGCGTCGCAACGAAACCATAGCCCCTATGCGAACCCTTTTGAAGCGTCTAGCGATTCCCGGTTTCGACAGCGAGGAGTACCTCAAAGATGCTGAGACAGATCCTACCGCCCTTCCAAATATTGGTATTGCTATCTCTGGAGGTGGCTACCGCGCTATGCTTTGCGGTGCTGGTGCGCTGGCAGCTTGGGATATTCGTTCTGACGGAAGCGACAAGGATGGAAATCTTGGTGGTCTTCTACAAAGCGCGACATATCTTTCTGGTCTCTCCGGTGGTGGATGGCTTGTGGGCAGTTTGATGATGAACAACTTTACTTCTGTTCAGGAAAGCGTGAACTATCCCGGAATTTGGCAGTTGGAGAATTCGATCCTTGAGGGCCCTGAGAGTTACTCTCTTCTCCAGTACTACAATACGATTTTCGACGCTGTCTCCGATAAGAAGGATGCTGGTTATGAACGATCTCTGACGGATTACTGGGGCCGCATGCTGTCATACCAGCTGATTAACGCTACGGATGGTGGCCCTGCATATACATGGTCTTCCCTTGCCGACGATCCTGACTTCTCTGAGGGCAAGGCCCCTATGCCAATCATCGTTGCGGATGGTCGTGCGCCAAACGAGACTATTATCAGTCTTAACGCGACCAACTTCGAGTTCACCCCCTGGGAGCTTGGATCTTACGACCCCGTTCTCCAAGGCTTCGTTCCTCTCAAGTACGTCGGTTCCGAGTTCGACAACGGCAAGCTACCCAAGGACAAGTCCTGCATTGCTGGTTTTGACAACGCTGGCTTTGTCATGGGAACTTCTAGCAGTCTTTTCAACCAGATCGTTCTGTATCTCAATGAAGACGACAACAACTACGTTCCTGACGGTGTTCCGGATATCGCCGTCGAGGCCGTAACCTCTGTTCTCAAAGCTATTGGCTCTGACAACAACGACATTGCTGACTGGACTCCTAACCCCTTCAAGGGCTGGAACGATGAGCATAACCTGAGCGCCGATTCCGAGCGACTCACACTCGTCGATGGCGGTGAAGACCTTCAGAACATCCCTTACTATCCTCACATCCGAAAAGACCGTGAGGTCGACGTCGTCTTCTCCTTCGACTCTTCCGCCGACACTGACTACGGCTGGCCCAATGGTGCATCTCCCATCGCCACCTACGAGCGCTCTCTCACCAACATCTCAGAGGGCTCATCATTCCCCTCTATCCCCGGCAAGAACACATTCCTCAACCTGGGCCTCAACACCCGCCCGACCTTCTTCGGCTGCAACGCAACCAACATGACCGACCCCTCACCCCTCATCGTCTACATCCCCAACTACCCCTACGTCTACTCCTCCAATATCTCCACCTTCCAAATGAGCATCAACACCTCCGAGCTCTCCGCCATCATCGAGAACGGCTACGCTGTAGCCACCATGCTCAACGGCACGCGCGACAAGGACTGGCCCATCTGCGTTGGCTGCGCAATGCTCTCTCGCAGCTTCGACCGCACAAACACCACTGTTCCTGATAAGTGTCAGGAATGCTTCACGAATTACTGCTGGAACGGAACTCTTGATGAACGAGAGCCCAGCGAGTATAACCCTACTTTCATCGGCGAGCAGATCGAGGTGGAAAGCTCAGCGTCAAAGGCCAGCAGTGCTTTTATCGCCATTGGAGCTATTGCAGGATTTATGCTCGCCATTTAAAAAATGAATGAAAAGTAGAGGAAAAAATTGCATATATACATTTGGTTATAGGAGTAACGCATTGGAGTTTTGTTCTATCTGAAGCGCCGTGATCTTGAGGACATGGATTCATGAGGAAGTTTATATAGGGGTTAGATAGATGATGAGTTGGAGGCTCGTCTTATTATTTACTCGGAATTCTCCATGTTAGCATGATCTTGTGAAGTTTAGTGTGACATTGAGCATTCGGTATGCGGCCTACCAGGCTTGCAATTTGTAGGCACAATAATACGAGGGCCTTCTTGAATAGACTGCACTCGTGTGAAGCTCATTAAGGATCATCAGCAACGGTGCTCCATATAGACTACGCACGAGCTGCATACTTGTTGTCTGCTCCCGCGGGCAATGTTAACTAGGCGATAACTACTATTTCACCATTGATCAGGCTTCAGGCTTTTTCGTGCAGGTAGATTCTCAGACCACTTCTTACGGCATGGCATATGCGCAAAGGCACAGGTTCTTGCAATCCATAACTTTTCCTTCATTAAATCATTACATATCCCCAACTGCTCTAAGCAAAAGTGACGTCCTTGCCAGTCTTGGCACTCTCAAAAACACCTTCAATAATTTGCAAAACATCCCTTGCCTCAGATGCCTTCACAGGAACATCCTCCTCCTTTCCACTCTCAACAGCCTTACCAAGCTGGGCATAGAAAGCCTTGTAGGTAGGCGTCTCGATGGATGAAATAGTCTGCCCCTTGGCCTTCTCGTTGTCATCAACGACAACCAACTTATACCGAGCAGGGTCCTCCTTTCCAAAGTCCGCATCAGTAGCCTTCGCACCAGCCTTGAGCGCATCTTCTTGCGTGTCGAGACCGAGCTTGCGGAAACTTCCCTTTGTGCCGCGGACCCAGAAGCGAGGCTGCTCGAGTTCGGCGCTGAGAACGCTGATGCGGATGTTGACGAGGAGACCGTCGGGGTAGGTCAACTCTGCTGACACACCGTCTGGGTTCTCAAAGTCGAACTTGCCTTCTCGTTGAGAGAGAAGACGGCCATGGACGGACTGAGGCTTGCCGAAAAGAACGTAGGCTTGATCAATGAGATGGGTTCCCAGGTCGTATAGAGCGCTTCCACCTTGAGAAAGGGGGAGGTCCAACTTCCAGTTCTTGGAGGGCACAAGACGATAACGATCAAAGTGGTTATCGAACTGAACGATACGTCCAAGGGTACCCTCAGAGATAATCTTCTTGAGGGTAACAAAGTCAGCATCCCATCGTCTGTTCTGATAAACAATAAGGAGCTTTCCGTTCTTCTTGGCAATCTCAATAAGCTTATCGGCCTCAGCAGAGGTAGGAACAAAAGGCTTCTCAGTCAAGACATGCTTCCCAGCCTCGAGAGCAGCTTTGGTGAGCTCAAAGTGGTTGTTGGGGGGAGTGCTGATGACGACAAGATCGACTGCAGAGTCGGCGAAGAGATCCTTGTAGTCTGTGTAGTGCTTGATATCAGGGTAGTCAGCAGGTGCTGAGTTGCCCTCTTTGGGAGAGCGCTGAACGATTGCGTGGAGTTTGAACTGGGGAGTTTGAGTGAGGAAGGGGATGTGGAAGATTTTGGCAGACATGCTATTGTTGTCAGCTGATGATATCACGAAGAGGTTGATGGAACTTACCCATAACCCACAACACCAACGTTGAATGTTTTCCCGCTCATATTGACTAACTGATTGTATTTAACTTGATGCTTATTTCTGAAGAATATTTCTCACAGCGAATGGTCTTGACTTTTATAAGTTACGAGGCAAGTTCTCACCATTTCTCCAAGAGCCTCCACAAGATGGAATTCCGTCATGGGTGCGGAGTCGTTCCCCACGGATGCTTCGCCATTCCTGGAGACTCCGGGCGAGCTGAGCGCCACGATTGGTAGAACACAGTGGATTTGGCCGAGAAAGTCGGAGATGTAGTGAAGGTCCAAGCGAGGAAGTGCTGTTCTCTTAGTCAGTAGCTCAACCTTTTATATCTATTAGCAGCTATTCACAAGACGATAATATTTGTAATCTGAAATGGCGTTGGATGAGTCTCCTTTGCTGAAGAGATTTCGTGATGTTGCGGAATGTCCGTTTTGGGTAGTCTTGGAACATGATGAGCTGATGTACACTGGTCGGTCCGAACACGGTCTATCGGCATCTTATCATGATAAGAACTGATACTGATATGTATGTAAAGCGGTTGGAATAGACGCCGAAGATTACGGGCCCGTTCCTCATGGTATGGCTCCGTGCCGGACTCGACATTTCTGCATCTCGCGTGCCGATGTGGAGCCCCGGACAACGCCTGAAAGTCCGGCCAACAACCGAACCGCGAAGTCCAAAATACCAAATTATAAAAACTCACGATATATCAGATAGAATAGAATAGCAACTCATCAAACAATTCAATAGTAATAATGGCATTCAACAAAACCTCACAATTCACCATCTTCCGTGGCCCTGGAAAGCCAACCGCTTTTCCATGGTCCCCCTTCGTCATCAAACTCGAAGCTCGTCTTCGCTTCGCCGGCGTGTCCTACAGGGTAGCCGAAGGATCGCCGAAAACTGCTCCACGAGGAAAGATCCCGTACATTGAAGCTGAAGGCGAGACTTTGAGCGATTCGACGTTTATTATCAAACACTTTATCGACGAGGGCCTAATTCCTGATCTTAATGCAAGCTTGACGCCTGTTCAGAAAGCACAGGATCTTGCACTCAGAGCTCTTTTAGAGGAAAAGGTTTACTTTTATGGTACACGCGAGAAATGGTGCGATAATTATTATACCATGCGCTCCAATATCTTTGCTTCTATGCCATGGCTTCTACAAGTTGTTATAGGATATCTTGCTGCTCGCGCAAATGCAAGGACAGCGTATGGGCAAGGAACAGGCCGTTTGACAGACGATGAAGTTAACGAGTTGAGAGAGGAAGTGTGGGAGAGCATCGAAGCTTTGCTTGCGGAGGCGAGGATGCGGAAGAAGGGTGATGGACCGTTTTGGGCTCTTGGTGGTGATGAGCCTACAGAGGTTGACGCGACGATCTTTGGGTTCATTGCTTCATCGTTGATTTGCGAAGCGTGAGTTATTCTGTTGATGAGACTGGGGTCATACTAATAGTGTTTTCAGAGCTCCGACTTCAGCGGCTATCATGAGGAAGCATTCGAGTTTGATGGAGTACGCCGGGAGGATTCACGAGAGGTATTTTCCTGATTATGAACGATGGGATTGAGAGTTGAAGAGCGGGAGGTACGGGACCTGGATCCCTTGGTGTGTAGAATAAGCAAATTTGGCAGTTCATTGCAGATAGATCTCAACTACCTAGATTCATCCCCCAAGAATCAGGGTGCATGCCAACAACTCCCATCATGAGTTCCTGCATGAAATCTCCAAAAACTTATAAATCATCTCCAACACCGTCAGCCAAGTTGCTCCAATCCTACCTTGCGTCACACAGCATGTTTCATCCTCATATTCTGGAATACCAAAATCCGACGTCAGATTATCTTTTCCATGAAACTGAACCTCAGTGAAGCTTGGAAAAGTTCAACAAATGACGTTTGTCCAAGTTTCTGAGCCCTTTTCCTACCCGCCAAGATGCAGGGGTTCGAGGGTGATTGGTGGTGAATACCCTCTAGCGAATCAGGCAAGACGGGAACTCCCCGTGCATGTTGGCGATGATTCCCTTACTCTCAGGAACAAGTCAACTTCAGTGTGATATACAATAGTAGGCAGCTTCATATGCCTCGATTGATCTTCAGCCTCGGTATATGTACAACAACCCTTTGAAACTCTAAGTTACGGCTCAGCCTTCTCCTTACATTTATTAACGGAGATTCGCCGTGTCTCGAAAAGTTCACCAACGAAGGCAGATCTACCAACCAACACGACATGGCATGCAAACCCGAGCTGAGATGGTTGCATACGGCTATTTTAATCGCTGCAAAATCAAAACCTCGTCTGCCCCTGGAAACTACGCCGCACAACGACTCACTGAGGGTGTGGTGTCGGTCGTCACCGTCGTCTCACAGTGCAGGAGGTGGGCATATAGGTGACGATGCATAAGGGCATTATGAAGATTCAGATCTCTTGTGCTACCTGCATTTGTTTATGTGGATTTATTCAGCTCAGCTCATATATGTTTAATCAGATCTTGAATCTCATGATTTTTTTTAATAGGAAATGCTACTGCGACGGTTCGTCTTTCATGCATGTTCGCCAAGTCGGCAGCGGCGGATATTGTCCACAATTATAGCGATCAGACCATTTCGATTCCCTTCCCGCCTAAGAAAGATCCCGCTAAACGACATCTTCTCCAGATTCATGCTCAGCTCCAGCAACACTCCCCCATAATAATCCACGTAAAATTGAATTATTACTGTGCTGTAGAGCCTGCTAGAAGACTCGGACACTTCCGTTGCCTCGCATGTGAGCCTCGGCGTGGCGGTCGAAAAGAGCGGTTAATTCGAGCGCATTTGTCCAGTGTAGGAAGGCACTTGGTCAAGATCCCTGCAAGCCTGACAGGGTCCCCTTTTATTCCCGGCTACAGGGGGTGCTAGTGGGTGTAGAATGTGAGATGCGGGGAGTTTTGGGACACCGTGCACTGGAGAGGTCGAGTTCTGATGAGTAAGAGAGAGGAAGAGAAATCAGGCATTGACTTTGAGAGAGCTGGCCAAAGGCAGAGGAGCTAACTAGCGGTCAATTTGTTGTCTAGGAATAGATCGTAGCATGTTAAAGTCTTGTAGACTTAAAGATAGTAGAAATAGTGGTCAATTGGCCTGCCGTCAACTCAACTCTAGTCACAACTGTCAACCCATTAGCATCTTTTGTTCCTGCATCATTGGCGTTCCTTGAATGGTTGGTTGCCTTGCCTCATCATCAAACCTGTTTTCCTCTGCCTCTCTTTTCCCTCTTTTTCTTTAGTTCTTCCTCTTCGGCTTTGCCGCTCAAGTCGGGCCTAGTTCCAAGCTCCCCCATCAATCGGCCCTCGGAATCAGTACCCTTGCAGTCCAGCATGTGACTTGGCCAAGTCCAAGTTCAAAGTCCCCGTTGAAGGATTCTCCTAATGGCGTCAACTCGCTGCAATTGTTACAGTACATATTTTCTCTTCTCCAATGTCAGGCATTGAAGCTTTGTTTTACCCCGGAGATCGTAATAATAAATCTCAATGAGAAAGAAAAAAAGGGGAGCATTGTCCAATATCCGGGGGTGGATCGAAATCTCCAGCTTTTTTCTCTCTTCTGATGAACTAGACAGTTCTTTTTCGAGGTCAATCTCCGAAAAGTTCATTCTCAGAGCCTGAGAGGAGTCTAGAGAGAACTTCACATGTCCTAGCGCTAGACCCGTCTCCGCATCTCGCCCCCAGACTTTGGCATCACCCCTCGTCGATCTACTCGGCCGTGTGTATCGAATCCGGAAGCCCGCCCCGCTCTCACAACGGCATAACAAAAGCTCTTACACGCCCTGAGTTGGTTAGTTACCACAGCAAGAATAGAAACCCCCCTCCCCTGGTAAGAGTTCCCTGTCCTTCTTTCAACCTCCCATTCGCCCACTTCAGCTTCCGGCTCGTCGCATCGTATCCCGACCCCCTCCCCCCGAGTCCACAGTCCACTCACACTAGACTCCAGAAAGGACGAGGATCAGAATCAAGAACAAGAAGTTGACCTGCAAGTCTGCAGGAAAAGAGGCTGGTCTTCCCTGTAATGGTTAACGGGCAACGGCACCGTCACGCTCTAACCAAGTCTAGCTGACTTGTTGATTGAGATTCCTTTTCCAACCTTCACCTACATAAAGCCTCTTCTCATCCATCTCTCAGGCTTCCTTCTTTCTTCTCCTCCTCATCCACTCGCTTCCATTGGACCAATTCAGCATCAGCTTCAGCCTTGCCTCTCTACACTCGTTGTGTCTTCTCGCATATCAACAAGTTTATCAACTTAAAAGACAACCAAGAACAACCTTCAAGATGAAGTACTCTTTCGCTATTGCTGCCCTCGCCACCGCCGTCTCGGCTCAGTCCCTCAGCGACGTCCCCAAGTGCGCTATTCCCTGCCTTGACGACGCTATCACCAGCAAGACCAAGTGTGAGACCACCGATCTCGCCTGCGTCTGCAAGAGCTTCGACGATGTCCGAAGCGCCGCTACTGGTTGTGTGATCACCAAGTGTGGTTCCGACGTTGCCATCAGTAAGTTCCTACTCACAAATACATGACACAAGACATTCATATACTGACTCACCACAGACGAGGTTCTCCCTGCTACCGAGAAGCTCTGCTCCGGCGGCAGCGGCTCCGGCTCCGCCGAGGAGTCCTCCAAGGCCGACACCACCAAGGTCGAGACCTCCACCAAGGTTGTCGTCACCACCAGCGCCGTCGAGACCACTGCTGTTGAGACCACCGCCGTCGAGACCACCTCTGTCCCTCCTGTCGTTGAGAGCAAGACCACCGCTGTTCCCCCCGTCATCGAGACTCCCACCACCAAGTCCGAGGCTGCCGGCGGTGCCACCAGCACTCCCGCTCCCTCAGGTGTCGGCGAGAACAGCGCTGCTGGCCTCAAGGGTCTCGGCGCCATGGCCATGGCTGCCCTCATGGCCCTTGCTCTGTAAATAGAGTCAATTATGAGCGCCAATTCCTCATTGTGAGAAACTACTCAGTTTACACGTGAGGTGACAGGCATTGTTACGAGCTGAAAGG